TACACAATTTCTTTTTTTTTTTACCCATGTCCCATCTGTTAACATGGAGGAGGCGGAGCTTATTACTTATTACTCTGAAGCCCGTCACAGTAGAGGGAGCTCCAAATGTTTTGACTTCACGTTTGGGAAGCTATCATGTCATCCATCGTTTGTGTGTATGCTTACACCTCTCTGGTGTGTTTGCATCTGTAATTGAGTGCACTCCTCTTCGATTTATGGACACATCAATGCTTTCTGCTGCCTCTAAATATAGACATCTTCCTCTTGGAGCACTCAAACACACCTTCTTGATTCCCATCATTAGCTGGTCTGCAATCACATACTGCCAATAGGTCAACTCTGCAGGGCTTTCATTCTTTATCCTGCTGAACTCTGGCGTTCACTACGCCAGCCAAAACAAGAAGCCGGCTGTTTTTCTCACTGATTGCATAAGACTCACCGCATAAACACACAGCACTGACTGGAAGATGAGTAAGAGGATTTCTTACACAGGGTTACAGACTTCGCCCCCGAAAAATTAACCTTTATTCTTAAGTCCCTATCCATCCTTAGAGTCTTTTTATAATCTCTAAATACTCTAGTAATAAGACAGCACAAAGAACTGGACAGAGACAGACACACTGACAGTTGTTCACCTTGAACTGATTCTTATGTAATATGGCTGCTGATGCAGATGACAGGGTTTGATGAGGAAGAGAATGAGTCAGTGACTTTAGTGTTGGGGGATCTATCTATTATTCAGGTGCAGGTTCATCATGTGTGCATATCTTCCAGCCAAGACTGGACACTCTCTTCAAATCAGAGGTGAATGAGCACAGATAAGCAGTGAATCACTCAGTGATCAAGTCAGATTCAAGAAGCAAATGTATATTTTATAGATGGAAATAAAATCACAAAGATGCCTTAACTGAATTACTTTGAATTGGAAATAATTGTGCATGTACGATTTCAGGAAACTTGCGCTGAGGGACGAGTCTGCCATGAAGAATCTTTTGATTTACTTAAAAATCAAAAGATTTTTGTTGTTTTCCAGTTGTGTGTCAAAAGATCAGTTGTCTAGTTCTTTACACAAACAGTCTTAATGTAGCTGTTTCAGTGTGACAGTATTAAAGAGTTCAAAACCAGACTCTCATTAAACTTGTAGCTTATTTTAGCAGAAACAAGCTTTATATCCACATACATTTTCTTTCCACTTTTATGATGATATGGTAAACATGGTAACAAAAAGTTGCTCTGTTAAAAATTCTTTAATTCTCGATAATATTTATTATGTAACTGAAATCTAATTCTAAATTTGACTCCGCTTTGTGCTCTGTTTTGGTCCCCACCAACTCGCCACAGAAATATCTGGGCCTGTATTCACAAACATTCTGAGAATCCTCCCAGAGAACTCCTTACTTATCTTAAAAAAAACATAGCAAGAATTTTTAGCTTCGGAGTGATTAAGGAACATTCTCAGAGCAACTCAGAGCAAGAAAGGGACTGAAACCTTTATCTTAGTGAGGAGGCGTGGTCGACACCGTTGCTAGGTACACAATTTTTCAGAAACTGTGATTGGTTGATCAAAATAAATTGAGAAACAAAGTGCTCTCTTTAAGTGATAATGGGCATAGAAGTACCATGAAATCCATTAGGCCTAATCATTGAATCAAGTCAGACAGTGTGTAATTATGAACACTATGAAATTAACATCTCTGTGCAGTAAATTGTTAGAAATACTTTATAAGTATACCGCCTACAAGATGTTTGAAATCACATGCCCAGCACTTGTGCAGCAGCCTCTTCACATACTGGTGTTATTGGATGCATCTGTGGATGCATGTCTCACTTTATACTGAAAAATTAGGGATAGAAATGTCTGCTTGAATCATTTTTGTCTGTTCAGCCAAACTATGATTCAATAACATTCTTCATGTCGTGTTTGGAGAACATTTCTCTATTTCCTCCTCTGCTTAAGAAACTCTTTAGCCTGTTAAAAGTCCTCCTCACTACTCACTACTACTGGTTATCTAATTGGGCACAGGCTTCTACTTATAAACACAAGAAGATGAGAATACAGGTGCGAATAATTCAGTCATTTAAAAACAGGTTGGTGAATCTGATGGCAATCTTCTTAGAAATCTTCTTAAAACAAAGTAAGAAAAACATGTTGACAAATGCAATGAGACAATGACTTTGTTTTGTGCCATGTTGAGGACCCAGCTGCAAGGTTTAATGTATGCAGCCAGCATGGAGTCTAATTACATTCAATCATGTATGTTGTGTAAACCAGTAAGCTGAGAGATAACAGTGTGTGTTTACCATGTCAGCAGAGGAGCAGGTGGAGCACAGAGAGAGAGAGAGCTGGCTGAATGTAAACACCATTTACATCACTATGATCAGGCTTCAAAAGTGAAGAGACCTACTAAATATGATCGGGTCGTCTCAGGCGACGCCATGTCTTCCTGTCTGCTAAAGTGCTGGTGACTAAAGCTGTAGTTGTGCTGCCTCCACTTAATGATTAATCAGTGGAGGAAGTCAGGGAATTCTGCCTGCCTCGAATGTTAGCTCTGCAGTGAAAAACAAACCTTCACATGTTTAAATATTTTAATTTAGACTGATGAATTATGGAATACAGAAAGTATATTTGGTAACATGGGGTTCAAGGAAAGGCTCTAAAATTCTTTTTCCCGCAGAGATACACATATCGTCTGCCAGAAATCTCATCTGAGCAGGTACACAGAGACAAACAGTGGAAGGAAAGGCCACCTCAGAATTTGCCACCGAGCCAAAAACAGTCAACCAAAGGCTGCAGGCAGTTGCCAGGCAACACTATCCCTATCGCAGCAGGAAGTGGAGTTGAACAGCACATTAATCACTTTCAGCTCCATCTCACAAGAGTCACAGAGCTACAGAGCTGCGGTCAGACAGAGGTTTCACAACATGTTCGCTCACTTCGTGTTTCCTACACGTGTTTCACTGGATATCTATTAATAGTCGGAGGTTTCTTGCAGGTGTATTTGCATAATTAATGCCATGCTTGTCAGAGGATTCACAGCATTTAAATTCATTTTTCCTCTGATTTATTTCTCAACTCAGTTTTTGGTCTTGTATGTCTATAATTCTTTAGGTCTAAGCACCTTTTCTGTTTCATGTCACCAGTTTTTAAATGATTTATATTGTGCGCTTGGAATGTATTTGTCTTGGAACTTTCCTAAAGCAGACCATGAGGGATGTCTGCCTGCAACTCAGCCTGCCTTCAATCTGTTTGTTTATCCTGCCAAGCACATCTTTTTAAGGCATCTCCAGCTCTGGCAGAGTTTGTAAAATTATATCTACTGTCTCATACAGGTTTGATTCAGCCTTCCATGACTACATAGAAAATCTTAAATGTAAGGTCCACTGCAATGGTGAAAATCCTAGTGACACAAAAGGTCAGTCTCTTCATGGTCTGCTTTTTTTTTGCCAATACAAAACTCTACTCTTGTTCAGGTGAATCTAAACATGGGGTCATCTCAGCAAAATGGCCGAGATGCGTTTAAAAATGACCCGAGGACAGGGTCTGACCGTGAACCTGATATATGTTGTTTCTTGGTGACTGTTGGCAGATTTATCACCTCATTATTTCATAATGAGGTGATAAATCATGTGACATCTAAATGATCCTGTGTCCCCGGTTGCTATAATCTCTGTTTATTAAATGATGTCTGGAGGCATCTGAGTAGGAGGCTACACTGGTTTAGCAGCTTATTGGCAATGAAGCCTCTCACAGCAGTGCTGCCAAAGCAAGGCTTGCTGCGGCAGATCTGTGAATTGAGGAAAACACGGAAAAAATCTCAAAACACAGCATGTGGGTGGATTCAGTTGAGTAGGTTTCCCTGCTCAGTCGGTATCAGACCCAATTATAAACATAAACTGTGTGTACAGTGAGGAAAAATGACAGAAAATACATGTTGGGAAGATGGGCAGGTAAGGAGCTGCCTGATCAGTTATCCATAAAATAATTTACTTAATAAAAAATAAAAAAACTTAAATCCCCACAGTAATAAACAGATTCAAAAGTAATTAAAGTTTGAAAGGCTTTTAAAGCCTGGATTATGCTAAATCAAAATTATCCCTGAAGTATTGTGGCAATTTATCTTGCTCTGAAACATGGCATGATATATATTGGACAAAAATAACCAAGCTGTCCATGTGCTGTGTTTCCACTTATTTTGCATTTTTCAGTTATAATTCTTCAGAACCGAGTCCTAGCTGCAGCTGAATCACTAATCTATCAATCACAGTTACACTGACAACAATAACCACGTTTTGCTCGTTATGACGTAGGGATGAGTAATCAGCCAAAATAGTCTGATCAGATTTGATATGGTGATGAAAAGTGTTACAGCATGTGTCCACAACCAGGCCCATGTGGGGCAGTGTGTATCTTATTTGACTGCATAAACATCCGAGAATATTCTGCTGCCTTCCTCATTTTGTATTGAAAAAATATTTTACAGTTTAATTCATTCAATTCAATTAATTAACACAAACGTTTGAACTTTTCCGGGTTAGGTTTATTGCAATATGATGTCTATAAAAGACCATAGACCAAAAGGAGGGGTGTTATGAATACATTATATTGCAAATCAAATCATAGCCTGTATTTACGAAGATCATTATTTAGCTTGTGCGTGAGTTAAGGGGAGTAATAATATAAAGTATCATTATTTGACGTAATAGTAATGAAGGTTAGGCTAAAGGTCAAGGGGTTACCAAGACTAATAGCCTACACTTAAATTCTCCTGACAGCATAAAAGTGCAAATCTGATCATTAGGTTGATGCATTAAACCCATATTACATGATCTTAAATTAACGATGAGAGGGTCATTTTGTGTAGTCTTGCCTCTCTCGTGGGAATTTGGCGTAGCGCGTTTACGCAGCGCAACTTTAGTGCGCCTTTTTTGGCTAAACAGCGCCTTCTGGCTTTGAGCGAACTGACTCTGCCGAAAACGCGCCATTCACTGCACCACCAGCAGCAGCAGCAGAAGCAGCACTGTACATAGACAACAGCAGGTCAGCTACAGACCGATCGTTCCTCATGATCTCAACGGTTGCTGATGAGAGCCGATAGGACCCGGACTTGCTCGAACAGCGCCAATTAGCTGTGAGGGACAGATGCGCGGCTTCGTCTCCGTGTGTTTGTGTACTAAGCAATATGTTCCGTTTGAAGCGAAGGTGCTGATTGAAACATAGTCGCTCATCGACTGTGTTTGAAAGGATGTGTTGTCTGCTCTTTACGTAACCCTCTTTGCGTAATTTTGCACTGGATGCCGCGTGGACCCGGATTATTTGGCGAGGAGAGCTCCAGTGATCTCCCTCCTCCCCGTTTCTGTTGTCCTCGGCAGCAGGCTCACAGACTCATTCACACGGAGAATCTGAATGCAGCAGCATTGTAAACAGACGAGGAGCTGTCTTAATGAAAGACAGCATCGGTGCATCCCGCTCTAAGGTAGGAGCCTCCCTCCGGTTCTCCCCCCGTCTCTCCCCTCACGTTTCCATGATGTGCGCGTGTTTTCAGGCAGAATGGTGCAATGCATCGTTATCTCAGCTCCGCCACATATAGAGCCAGGGACATTACACGGTATGACAAACATTTGCACGATTTCACATTGTAATGTAGTTCATTTCGTACTTCTTTGGGTGAGTGTACCATAGTATTATTTGTATGACATGCATGCATCTAAGAAAAAATGAAGAGAGGGAGTGGAGGAGGAAATGGAAATATGAAAAAATATGGGTAAGCGCGTGTGTATTAAAGGAGTATGAGCATTGAGCAGAGCACCAGGAGAGAGATTAAATACAATATTTGCATTAGGAAGCTGTAGTGCTGTACATGTAGTGCTTAATGTTGACACTGTTGTAGAAGTCGGGAAGTCTCTGAGGACAGTAAGTACTGTTGAGTTTATTTTCATTTTGGATGCGTTGTCTGTGCAGCCAGTGGAGATGGTGCAGACACACATGCACTGTATGCACGTGAGTCTGAGGCTGCATGCTTCTTTATTTGCATAACAAGCTTTTACTTGCAAAGTTCCTATTTCATATTATGAAATATGATTCAGTATTCCACAAAGAGAAGTTATACTAAAAATACTGATGTATCTTTGCTTATTCTCAATTACTTTTAAGACCTAAGTGACATCTTCTGTTTGTTACTTTTGCCATTCATGAACATGAAGGAAAAGTGTAATCCATTAATGAAAAATAACAATGTCATACAGCCACGTTTTGTACCAGCATGTACACATATTACTGATGTCAACACACATTTAACAGCACCACAAGTTATCTAGTGGCTGTCTCCGTATAAACACTTAGATCATTATGGTCACATGTTTTAAAATGTGGTGGTGGTAGAAGGATGGCACTTTCGTTCACTTTCATCTATCTAGATATCTAAATATCTATCTTTACAAGGGAAAGTATATACATCTGTCTTTATAAAGATTCTTTAATCTTTAATAAACTTTCTTTTTTTTTTCAGCCTTTTATCAGCGATGCTTGGGATTCCTGCAGCTGCTCTCTCTCCAATGCTGTCTCTGAGAATGGGATCATAGTAAAGTTCTCTGGGATATAGATCAACTACTAGCATGTTGCAGCCCTACATCAAAGCAGGTGACAGCCTGTTGGAAGCATTACCTCACTGGAGTAAGCGTCAGAGATGGGCCTTCTCCCTCACCCTCTGCATGGCTCTCCTCTGGCTTCCAGGGGCGGCCGCATCGACCCTGAACTGCCACAAAACCTGTATCTGCGCCTCCAACATAGTGAGCTGCTCCAAAATGAACCTGACCATCATTCCGACTGGTCTGCCGCTCTACATGGCCGTGCTGGATCTCAGCTACAATGACATACAGCGGTTGAGATCTGAGTGGACACCTGTCAGGCTCCCGAAGCTCCATAACCTTCTGCTCAGCCATAATAATCTCACCTTTCTGTCTTCAGAGGCATTTGTATATGTGAAGTACCTGCGCTACTTGGATCTGTCCTCAAACCACCTGCAGCAGCTCGAGGAGTTAATCTTCGAGCCTTTGGTCAAACTGGAGGTCCTTTTGCTCTACAACAACCATATTTCCCAGATTGAGCGCTCAGCTTTTGTAACCATGATTAACCTTCAGAAGCTCTATCTTAGTCAGAACCAAATCTCCCGTTTCCCCCTGGAGCTGGTCAAGGAAAGATCCCGCCTGGAGAAACTTAACCTCCTGGATGTGTCCTCTAACAAGATCAAGATTTTACCCATCGATGAGCTCCAGCTGCTGCCTGCCTGGATTAAAAACGGCCTCTACTTCCACAACAATCCACTGCTGTGTCACTGTGATCTCTACACGCTTTTGGCCCACTGGTACATCCGAAAGCTCAACTCCGCCATGGACTTCAAAGATGACTACACATGCATTCTGCCCGGCCCACAAAAAATCCAAGAGCGTGTTTTTGATCTCAGCGGTTACAACATGAACTGCAGCACGTTCAAGGAGAAAGATCAAGAGGCTTTTCTGGAGCAAAGGATGGTCCTTCTCTGTGACACCAAACACAGGAAGATGTCAAAGACCTGGATGATGCCTGGAAATGTAATGGTGACTCATGAGAGCAACCAGACAGCCACAGTGTTGAAGGATGGGAATCTGCAGATCAGTCCAGTGAGGGCAGAGGACTCTGGGACCTACACTTGCATTGCCATGAGCGAGGCCTTTAACGAGACCATCTATGTGGTCCTGAAGGTTCATAATTTCACCATGCACGGGGGTGGGGAGACCCTGAACACAGCATACACCACCTTAGTGGGCTGCCTGGCCAGTGTGGTGCTGGTCCTCATGTACCTTTACATGACACCGTGTCGCTGCTTCTGCTGCCCTGATAAAGGTAAAACACGAGGTGACGACAGCATCCACTCATCCATGCTCAGCGTGACACCCACCCATGAGGACCCAACGCTCAAGGCGGAGCTAAACCGGCACGTGGAGTTCATAGACTCCAAGGACTTGCAGGGCCAGAATGGAAAGCTGAACCCAAACGGGGACGACGATGATGATGATCTGGATGCGGAGGCTGGTTCTCTTATGAAGGGGAAGAGAAAGAAGTCAGTAGCAGAGTCCATCAGCTCAGTCTTCTCAGACACTCCCATGGTGGTCTGAGATGACTTCAGCAAAGACGCCAGATGTGACTTCATGTGAACAGTTCAAAGTTTGCCATGTTTAAGTTCATCTAATCTGTGACTAAACCTGAAGAGGGGAAAATAAGGACGGATTTTCATATCTCGTTGCCGGCATGTGGAAATAAGGATATCAAAGGGATATTACATTTACAAACTATCTTGTTGTCTGCAATAACAACAAGCAAGACTTTTCCAGCATATTAATGTGTAGCAATTATTATTCATACTGTGAAGGGATGGCAGCAAATAGGAACGGTGGAAACTACTGAAGTCTTATGAGTAAAAAGTAGATGATATGTTGTGAATGTCAGCACTCAGGAAGTGATAAAACAAACTGTTTAAGTGTGAGGAAATACAAAGGAAACACATCACGCACAGGTTGAAAGTAGATTTTAAAAATCTTTATTGAAACCATAGCGGGTTGATAATTATATCTATCAATACAACTAGATTAGAGCATAGATACAGAGCCCCTCCTCTATCAGGGACCGACACTTAGAAAGACAGCCCACTGTCTACTGGCTGTGAATACATCCTTATATTATGCTTGAGTCATCTAAAGAGAAACAGCATGTCATAAGGCAAAATAATACACGTCCCAGAGTGATCTTTGCAGGTCAGCTCCCTCCTACACCATAGCTGTCAGCTACTTGCACTCTGATGTAGTTCATCAGACCTAATGTTATTCTGATTCATAGTATATGTGTAGCCATAAAGAAGAAAGATATTTTCTCTCAAATTAAATTTAGGCTATGTAGACATTAAAAATAGTTGACCTGTTCAAGGCTGGTCATTGCTTATCTAAGTAGAAACCTCTATATTTCAAAACTACATCAACACCCAAAAGAAACGTCCAGAGCCTTATTCAGTAAAAACATTGAACGCCTTCAGAGTGAAGAGTAGTCCTCAATATTTTATTTATGTTCTGCATACTGACAGGTATCATGGTACTTAGAAGGTGACTAGACGTTTGCCTCATAACAATGGACATGCCCCTTACTGCAGTTTAAATCCCCCTCCTGGTCAAATTATAGTGTTCCTAGCAGGAGGTTGAACTCTAAGCTAACAGTAACAGCTGCTAGCTTTAGCGAACATGTTCCTCCCTGGATTTGAAATAAGCCCCTTTCATAAAAGCCTGAAAAGTCTGAATGTGCATATACTAAACATTAGAAACCTCTGGGCAGTCGTAGGTCATAAATAATAGATTAAAGCACTTTGTCTGGCATTGTGCTTAGCTGGATGATTACCAGGGTCACTCTGTTTTGAAAAATGGCTTTTTTCTTTTGCCTTGTGGTCGGTAGAGAAAGCCGGAGAGAGGTTGTGTAAGTAAGTCCTGACAGGAAACCCATTCTTGTATTTAATTGTCATAATTGTAGATTGAGTTAAAGATGCAAGATGCCCCCGTATGCTTGACACAGAGTGTGCCTTTCCCTAAACAAGAAGGAGAGGTTTAATTAAACCGCACGGTGTACGTGTAATAATACATCAAGGCCAGAAAGGCTTAAATGCTAATTGGATCTTTTGATAGATTCCAGCTTCCCTCTTTGTTATCACAGCCACACAAAGCCATTCTCTCGATTCAGCCCAGATGTGTTTGTTTGTGTTTCTCAGTCATTACGTGCCTGTTCAAAGCAATCATTCAGCCAGGCAATGGATGTGTTGCCCTTTAAGCTGTCTTTTATTTGTTTTTGAGGGAAACGCTAACAGCATTGATTGACCATTAGCTCTCCCACTCATTTATACGGCTGGAAAGTCAAATATAAGAATTTGGAAAGCAACATGTTAGTATTTGAATGCACAATGCTGCTTTGTTTTCCACTTTATGCAGATATTTGTGTAAAAAAAAAAATCACATACATCTTGCATTCAAATGTCGGCATAGCGGTCAGATGATATGATCCATCACATTTTGGAGATCAATAGTGTTTTGCGCAAACATGATGTTATATTTAGCATCTCTTGTGTGGGAGAGAAAAGGGAAGTCACACTTGTCAGAGAGGTTGGTGTGTAAATCATCCCGTTTCTCACACATAGGGATACCAGGTGGAGAGAGGGAGAGCAGCAAAAAAAATACCACAGGATGCACTTAAATAAAGCCACATTTAGCACAACCCCAGACAGGCCAGTTTTGTGAATCCAGGCTCCAGGTTTTGCCCCATGGAATTGAAATATGAGTTGTTTCCTGCTTTTTCATTTGGCGATCAATCTAAAAAAAAAAACCCCTCAGATTTCACCACCTGGCCACTCAAGGCCTCATGAGAATCTATTGACGCTGTCGCAGAATCTGAAAATATCCTGGGTGTAAAGTAGCAGGCATGAAACTGCCAGACCATCAAGAATAAGCATGTGTTCGCCCTGATGCGAGCCACTGTCAATCAAGGTAAATCTGTTTTTACTAATAGGCGGTCTTCTCCACTTGGTTGTCACTTAATTTACAAGTTTAGTTCTGTACAGAGACGAATGAAGTGCTATTGGTCCTGACATAGAGGAGAAGCCAGGCTTTGTTCTGTCCAAAGCAAATCTGCCTTCTTATATACAGTATATAAAGTATATATATATATATATGTATTAAGACTCACTGTTCAGTATTGATTAGTTGTGTACTGCTATGTTCTACCAGTGTACTGACTGTATTCTTGTGTAACCTGTAATGTTAATCATTTTGCATTTTGTCTGCCACTGTGCTACTGTTAGCTGTTTCGACATTTAAGTCTTGACATACATGTTTATTTTTTAAGCGGGGTTGGGTTTAGTTTTCTCATTGAAAGGATGTATTTTACACTTGAATCTACTAAAGAATAAGCTTAAAAGAAAAAACTAACAAATATATTATATATATATATATATATATATATATATATATATATATATATATATATATATATATATATATATATATATATATATATATATATATATATATATATATATATATATATATATATGTATATTGAAAATGTTTGTTACAAAACTGCATAAGAAGATTTCCAGTTTTCCAGTGAGTGTAAAACGTCCTCATGGGCAGTGATTATGTAGCCGGCAGTTCTTTTCAGTCAGTATTTGACTTTCCTTATTAAGCCATAAAGAAGTCAGGAGAACAGACAGGTGTCTTTGTTAGGTGTTAAGGGTGACTTTTCCAATAAATACTTTATGACAATTGAAGCAACCATTTTCTGTCTATAAAAAGTGGAAGGACATTTTTATAATAGCCAGTGAAAGAAAGGAAAATCAAGACATCTCAACAGCCACGAATGAATTTCAATGGAATAAACACACAGTGGGGTTTTAAAATGATTTGAAGACAGAGGGTCACTAAATCTTCTCAGGAGCAATGTTTTGAGGTTTGAATTGATGTTAAATCACAATGACTGCATTTTAAAGCAGCATCAACAAGACACTATCTTTGGTTTGAGGACTGTGCAGCCCCTGTGCTGTTTGCATGAATGGATCATTATCTGTTCTCCTAATGATCAGTTCAGGGGAAGGGAGTGGTCTCTCGCTGCCAAACATCTTTTTTCCATTTATCTCACTATGAAGTAGCAAACTATACAGGAAGACATCTTCGAGGTGGTGGGGCTAAAAGCTCTCTGCACATGAGAGCTCTAATCTGCATTAAAAGCTTGGAGTTTATTGACCACAGCCTCGGAAGATGAGCTGGTTGGTTCTTGCCATAAAATCAGATCGGTCTCGCAGCTAAAGTGGAATGGCTTTGCATGGTATGCTTAAGAGCTTCTCTGACTGCAGGATAGGTGAAACCTTGTAGGCATTAAAGATTAGAATACCAAGTTATCAGTTGACTTAATAAAGATCAATATTTACACTTTGTGCTGTCTCCATTTTCTCTGCTTTGTTTTTTACAGAAATCATTTTCAAAAGTGAATCTTAACCGTTATAACTATTAGCCTATAAATAAACCGTAGGATATTTACCTAAAAAAAACAGGAGTCATATATTGTAAATAAAAAAATGCATCTGTTTTGGAATATTGAGATACACCCCTGGATGTTCTTTGATGACTAACAGCCTTATCACTTATGAAATGTCTGGATATGTAGCTTATAACTTTATTATTGGTCGTAAGAGATTAAAGCTACATCTGTAAATGTCTAATAACTACCACATGACTAATAGAACAGACTGAATGGATTTCATAAAATGTGTGCTTAGATGTCACAATGGAAGTGGTGAAAAGGTTTAACATGCAGCTTTCTTGAGAAGCAATGTTGATGGCTTGACACCATCTAGTGTTAAAGTTCAGTATTACATTCTTGCATTTAAATATTTACATCTACACTTCTGATATGATCCATTTTCGTAAAAAAAAAAATCCAGAAGAAATTATAGTAAAAAAAATGCCCATGGACTGTTATATTTTATTAAATTGCCATTATATAATAAAATGTAATTTGGATTTTATACCACATTCATCACCACTGAATAATCATTAATGCACACAAATATGTGAACACTGTACAGTTAACATGTATTTCATATGGTTTACTGAATAAATAATTAACCTTGGACATGTGTATAAATGTAAAAATGGAAATGTTGTGCTGTATTTCTATAAACAAAGTCCTAAATAGAGCAGGAAGCACATAGCTGTGTAACATTTGTTTAACATAATGTCATCATTTTAATGTATTGTTCCCATCCCAAGTTTTCATAGTTTTTAGATAGATTGTTAATATGCAGACAAAACTGACTGAAGAGGCCTTTTCACGGTCTCTTTCTCTTGTACCAAACAGAAGAAATAAAGAAAACATAGTGTAAGAAGAAGTATTGGATTTTTTTTTATTATTATCTTTTTTCCCCCATTAAATTACTTACATTTGAGCAGCATAAGGAGAAGACTGAGTGTGTTTTTTTCTAACACAGTTTACAAACTGAGATGTTTGGGCATGTATAAAAATTGAAATTTTGTAAGAAAATAAAGGAACATAAGGTAGCAGAAAAATATTTATTTCCGATCACACAGTCACACATGGCTTTCAACAGCTGCAGTGTGCACAAAGCCTTTTCTCCAATATGTCTTTTTAAAGCAGGCCTTTTCATTGGCTGTGAAGATGAGAAGAAAACAACAACTGGCATTCATTCACTGCTGTTAAAAAACAAAGACAAACAATCAAGTGGAGATCAAGAATGTGCTCAGAACCTTTCATTTCTCTTAAAGGGACAGACCAGCACAATCATAAAACATTGATCGTATGCCACCTATTGTTTGCTGTAGCTTGCTGACTCTTTAAAAGTCTGATCTTTTCCCCTCAACCTTGAAGCACATGCCCATTATTCTCTCCCTTCCCGGGCTAGAGGCTGGAGTGGGGAGGGGAGGAGAAGGGTTTACATGTTGAGGTTGTTGATACTGAACTGAGGAGCATCGACTTATTTCTTCCTTTTCGCCTTTGGGCAGGACCAGTGCGGTCACAATCCATTACCTTCTGCTGAATCTTTGGGGACCTCCCTCTGCTCAGGGGGAAGAGTTGGAGAGGAGGACATGGCTTCTGTCCGTATGAGAACAAACCGTTAACTGGTCCTCGAGAGGAGGGGGTGTGTGGCTGGCCCTTCTCATTAAGGAGGAGATCCCTGATGTATCTGGAGGATTTGTCCTCACTGCTTTCATCTTGAATTAGCTCGGCCTCCCTCGACTGAGCGCTGCTGCATAGCCCAACAACGTTCCTTTGGCAGCCTTCAGGACTAAGACTCTCAGGGGCAGTAGAGGAAGGCGGTTTGGTGCTGTGAGTGTTGCAGTTCTGTCTGAGTTGTCCCAGTGAGGTAGAATCGAGGCTGAGGGTGCGAAACGATTTGGGGAGCCTGACCCCAGTTCTAACAGGTGATCCTACAATTGGATCCCGTGACCTGAGACCTTTTGGTACTCGAGGCATTTTCCTGTGAGAGCTTGAAAAAATATGAAGCTGGTTAGAAAATTAAAGCAAACATTCAGAATGTTTTCACTTTGTTTTGGTGGATCAGCTGCAGCCTCTCTTTGTTATGAGACAGATTATCCTGCAGCTGATTCCCACATACATACTGTAGGCTAACATCCCTGTGCTTGGGCCTGACTCCTGCACTGGATACTCACTTCCACAAATGTGAGCCGACATGGTGATCCAGCATGGAGCTGAGGGCAAACCGTAGGTGGTGCCATCGCCTGTCAAAGGTGAAGATGCTGCATCCCAACGTGTGGCATCCAAACGTGCAAAGCTACAGAAGAGAAAAAGGTTTAAGAAATACACTCAGTCATGTAACGTTCAAAGAGGTATAACTTTCCACATCTGACAACAACAGCCACTTCCAAAAGAAAGAGGGACCCCAACACTTTCTTTTTTTAAATCAGGAAAATAAATTAGCCTTGTGCTTTTTACCTGATTCATGCAACACACCATTTAAAACCTCATAATAACCCATGGTGACACAGGTCAGGTGTTACAGACACTTTAAATCTTCTGTCAAGTTCCTTATACTACTTTATCCTTCAGTTTAGCCTGGAGAGATCATTTGAATTAGTTTCCCATGAAAACATTTCCAAGATGGCTGTGTATCAGGTCAGCACACTGAGCAGAACCAACTAATTCTAAAAAGCTTGTTTTTGTTACTGAAGGTTAGATTCAAGCCATTTAACAATCCTAATGCTTAAATAACATGTCCTTTCATACATTTAACCTGTTCTGACCACATTTCTTGAATAAATTCCAGAAATTATTGTTGTGACATATTTGTCACATCGGGCCTTTAACTTGAAAATAGTCTCGTAAAACCTCATGTGACTTATATGTCACAATAAGACAAATGTAAAAGAGCTGCTCCGTTTATTAAGCTGATCTAATTATATTCAATTCACATATTTAATATTGTTCAATTCAAAGCAAACAAGTCATATTCATAAAAAAAAAATAAGAAAATGAAATAAGAAAATCACTTTTCAATCAAACAAGAATTGAAGACCCTATTTCAAGAGATTACAAAAAACAAATAAAAATGTAAAACAATTCCAAATTGTATATTTTACCCATTTTTGTAAAAACAGATACAAAAGTAGTTCCATTCATGCCAAATAAAACCCTATCATTAAGTGACATGAAAGTTTGCACAAGAAAGTTTGCACATGACGGCTACACTGAAGGTGTCTGCTGCTCTAAATATACTTGAACTGCCCAATGGGACGTAAATGTCACATCTGCCACTAAAATGTGAGGAACATGATGTCCATTGTCGTGTTTGTGTAGGTCATTCCAGATGTCTTATTTGCCTCTATGAAGGTTTATTCTCTGGTGGGCCCACTGCCCAACAGACCTGTAGTATTGCTTAATATGTAAATTATGTAACCTGAACCTTTTTTATTTATTTATTTATTTATTTTAAATGTCAGAAATGTGTTATATGTGGTCTATTTAGTCTGTTCTATGTTCCCTATAAATTTCCTATCAGTATAAATGGGTCCAGATTCTAATGAGTTAAATTATTTGTAACTGGTCGCAGGATAGCCTAGCGGTTTTGTTGTGCACCCCTCGTGCAGAGGCTATAGTCCTCGTCGCAGTGGCTGTGGGTTTGAATCTGGTCTCGGACCTTTGCTGCATGTCATCCCCCCCCTCTCCTCCCAACATGTCCTGTCTCTCTGCAGCTGTCCCATCGAAAGAGGCTAAATTTGCCCAAAAATATATTTTGGTTTCTCAACTCACCCCTAGAGGTTTGGGGTGCCAGGGTGTTGCTGGCAGGTCTGTGGATTCCTCCTGCTTGGCATCTTCATCATCATCATCATCACTGGAGAGAAGAGTTTGGTTGAAAGGATAGGGGGGGTGCACCTCCACTTTCATTGAGCTGTC